AAGTGCTTTAAAAATAAAGTGAATGAATGAATGAATGAATGAATGAATGCTCACATTGACAAGCACTTGTGTGAGAGGGTATGAGATAGTCCAGCTTTGGTTTAAAAGAGTACAAAGATATTTTTATCGGTCATAACTTCTGGAGAAAAATAGAGCAGACACTGGACATAGATGAAGCTTTGTAAACACAGTTGTTAATGTCTTAAATGAATGTAAACGGTTAAATAGAAAAGGAAATATTGGATGTGTCAATAACGGACCCATGAATTCCTTATGTTAATTATGTTAATAAAACAACAAAAGAAAAATAGAGAATCAGTCACTGGTCTTAACAAAATAACTTCTGTAGCTTTAATAGGTATTTGTGTATCGCCTATTGAACCGCCTCTGGCATTTTCTGACACAGAGCTTCTAGGTTCATCTTCTGGAACATAAGAGAAAGCAAGTCACAACAAATAAATAAACAGATATAAATAGAAATATATATTAAAATAAATTAACCCTTGTTGCAATCCATCAACCACTTGCTCATTCTATAGCAGCAAAAAATTAAGTCCTGTTACAAGCTCTGAAACAAAAAAAAAGAGATTATTTATACTATTTACATAAAAATATTATTTAAATCATGTTAATATAATTTTATAATGATTATATATAATTTTATGCAACATATTTAATATGCCTACATAATATTAGAGTTAATTTGCAAAAACAGATAACTCCATTTTTTTAAATTTTCAAAAATCATGTTTTTTTATTCTGCATTCCAAGTAATATCAATCAAACTCAGTTGGATTGTTTTGATTAAATAATAATAACTATTAAAAAAATACAGCTAACTAACAATAAAATACAATAAAAAACATGATAACACAATAAAAAACATGATTTATCAAATTTAATAAGTTTAAGGAGTTATCTGTTTTTGCAAATGAACTCTTCATATATTATCATAATACAACATTATATTTGTGTTTATAGATCGTAATTTAATATGATTTTGCTCAAGTCGCTGGGTTGTTTTCCCACCAAAATGATGTCATTTCCTGGAAAATGATGTCAATAAGTAATTGGCTTTTAACTCCATTTTTAAAAATTTTCAAAAATCATGTTTTTTTATTCTGCATTCCAAGTAATATCAAACTCAGTTGGATTGTTTTGATTAAATAATAATAACTATTAAAAAAATACAGCTAACTAACAATAAAATACAATAAAAAACATGATAACACAATAAAAAACATGATTTATCAAATTTAATAAGTTTAAGGAGTTATCTGTTTTTGCAAATGAACTCTTCATATATTATCATAATACAACATTATATTTGTGTTTATAGATCGTAATTTAATATGATTTTGCTCAAGTCGCTGGGTTGTTTTCCCACCAAAATGATGTCATTTCCTGGAAAATGATGTCAATAAGTAATTGGCTTTTGTTAGTTGAAAGGCTTTTACTAAAGACTAAAAGGACTGAGATATTGAGGGCACAAAAAAAAAAAAGTTTAAACTAATTACGAGTTAATATTCCCAAAAAACCTTCCGTTGGGACTACAAATTGTCGTCACGATTTTACCAAAAAGTAGTAAATAAAACATTCAAGTTGATAGGAAAACATGATACTGGATTGTTTGAGGTTTGCCAGGAAGAGGAGTCAGTGGAGCATGCGGTCTTGAGATGCAGCAGGTATGATGTTCAGAGAGAGTTGATGAGGAATAAGTTGAGAGAGATAGAGGTGCAGGACATGACATGACATTAAAAGGGCTATTGAGCACACAACATAGGGCACAGACTAGAATTCTTATGGATTTCTTAAGGGACACAGGAGTTTAATAGAGTATGAAGAGTTATAGGAGTATTGAGGAAGGTTAAAATTATTATTAGTAGTAGTAGTATTATATAGTAGAATATGGATGAAGTGTGTGGATTTGTACGCTTGGGAGAGAAGAAGGGAAACTTTATTATCTGATCCACACTCCGGAGCAGATGGTGGCGGTAATGCACCATTTACGCTGGATGCCAACCGCCGTTAAACATTAAAAAGAAGAAGAAGAATATCGGCTAGTCCACGTCTTTCAGCGAAATTAAATAGTATGAGTGTTATTTATGTATTTAGGTATAATAATTTAATGTAATAGTTTTTGGTTTTTTTTGTATTAAGGTATGTTTATTTATTTATTTATTAATAAGAGTAGTCCTAACGCGTTGCTGTTCCACACTCCAGTTCAGTTGGTGGCGGTAGTGCACCTAAAAGCTGGTTTGCCAACCGCCAATAAACAAAAAGAAGAAGAAGCCCACCAAACAGTGGCGGTGGTTCTGGACGTGACCGCGTGTGGTCGCTGTCGGGCCTCGTGCGTGGGCACAACCAGCGCGTGTGACGATAGAGTGGTAGAGAAGCTAAACGCGCTTCTGTACGGAGGGAATTATGAAATCAAACCGTGTTCCGGCACTTTGTTAAGAATACCATCATTCTCTTATTACAATATCTTTATGAAATAACCGAGTCAGAGGAAAAGACGCTTGAAATCAGCATCGAAAAATAAACAGGCCCAGGACTGAATCAGATCCAGCCCAGCATGGACGGTATATGCAACTTTAATTTCGTTGTATTTCATATGATTCACGAAGTCATATGATGTTTTGCCGTGCATTGCGTTGCTTTGAAGTAAAACTGTTATTTGGGTAGCTGCATTGTTGGTAGATTATTTGTGCATGTTGAATTTGATTTGACTTGCACATGATGTTGAATCAGAAATGCGCCTCTGGTCCCACCTCTGTGTTATGATGCATGTGTAGATCATCAGATGTTTGGTGCTGCTGTGGTCAGATGTTTGGCACAGACTGCTGGACACAGTCCTGATCAACAGCTCTTCCTCAAATCCATGCAAACGTATTGGACATTTTTGATTTTCATGAAGATTTTATGAACTGTACAAGTCTCTAGTCCTTCACAGGTGTGGTAGTTTAGGACACATCTGTGGTTGTGGACACAGAGAGGGGGGTTTTCATGTGGTCTTCGTGTTGGACATACAGTCTGAATGTGTCTTCGGTTCCAGGAGATGGAGAGGGCCAGAGCCGCTGGTGTCTGTCCCAGGTCAAAGGAGCCGTAGATGATGATGTAGCTGAAGGTAAGTACCACAGTAAACACACATACCAGAGTTACTACTGTAAAATCATAAGAAGTTCCATTATAAGGATCTTCAAAGCTTGTGAAATCTTTCTTTTTGTCATTTTAGTAGTATTTTTGACAATTGTGCTGGATATTATTCAAGTCAAAAAAGTTTTACTGTTGTAATGATGTTATTTATTTATTTGTTTATATTATATATTCATCAAATGTATTTTTATATCTATTTAAAAAATATTTTAGTTACTACTGTAAAACTATTATAAATCGATAAAGGTTCTGCATCTGTAGTTATTTTAGCGTAATTTTTAATTGTTATTTTTGTAATGAAGTTGTTATTATTTTTGTTTGTTTGTTTGTTTGTTTTTGGCTGCCATGTTTTACACTTATCCGCTACTGTCTTTGCTCCAGAAGTTTATGATTCTGTAACGGTCATGGAAACATATTTGCAAATTTTTTTAATTTTGATTTACAGCCCTGGAATATTTATGAAAATTTGTATAGATTTAAAATATTGAATGTTTGATAGTGAATTTGTATACAATATTGTATTATTAGTGTATAATTTTATTTATTATAAAATACTGTACCTGCTATAAAGTAGAGGTCTGCGCGGGACTGTTTTTTTTTAGTCCCGCTCCCGCAAGGTTCTATTCCGCACCCACCCGCTCCCGCTATATCCCACGGGAGAGCCGCAGGAATGCAGACCTCTACTATAAGGTGCCCTTTTGAGTGCTATATTTATCAAATAATTTAGTGTTATTCTGGTTGAATAGAAAAGTCATGGAAAAGTTCAAAATGGTACATTGACTCTGACTGACTTGCGACGGTTTGTGTCAAAATATGTTTCATTATGTTTATAAACTAGTGCCGTCAAACGATTAATCGCGATTAATCGCATCCAAAATAAAAGTTTTTGTTTACAGGCCAAGTGATAACAAAAATAAAAGAGTACACACATATTACACAGCCTGCTGCTCATAACTGCTTAAGAGTGCGCTGGCCACGAGCGATGACATCATGGAGGCTATTGTCGGCATTGAATGTTTGGCATTAAAAACATTTTTAATGTTTGGCATTAAAAAATGCCAAAAATCGGCCGATTAATCGGTCGACCTCTATATATAAGCATAACATATTCATCTTAAATAGCGTATATACTTGCATGTTTGTGCATTTATATATACATAATAAATATACACAGTACACAACCATATATTATGTAAACAAAACTTATTTTGCACGCGATTAATCGCGATTAATCATTTGACGGCACTAGTTTATATATGTTTCTATGAGGTTAAATTGTGCATGTGTTGTAAACAAAGTAGTGCTGGGCGGTATACCGGTTAATACCGAATACCGGTGTTTATTTTTGTTATGATATGAATTTTTATAATACCGCAATACGGGTGTATGTCGCTTAAACAACGTTCGGAACGCGACACTGTTTGAGAGGGGTCCCTTTTCACTGTTGCACTGTGGTGAGGGAACAGCTGTATGTGTTACTAAGCGTGAAAGTTCCGAAACTGAAGCTGTAGAACTAATAGAACATGATGACACAGAAGAACTCATCCACAATATCCACATTGACCGCCACAAATATCCACCGCCCCCTGCCATCAGCTCCCGCGTCTCACACACACACGCGCGACTTTAGCACTAGATTTAGCAACTTCAGACCCTTTTAGCGGCTTTTTTCCATAGAATATTCATACTGACAAACCTAGCAACTTTTTT